TCCATTCTTTAAAATATTTGAGCCCTGTTATGGTACATATATTGGGAATGCAAAGACCAATAAACTCTATTTTTACAAGGAACTTTCTTCCATAAGTACCATACCCAATCTTGGGAGCCAGGCATGTGTGTATATATATATATATATGCATGTATTGCTACCAGGCAAGCAAATACAGAGACTAAAGCATACTAAAAAAGCCAAGTGTAAAAGCAATAAAATCCAAATACTATATTTAAACATCTCCATACCGATTAAATGTTTCTGTGGGCTTAATTTAATTTATTTTATTACACCTATTGGAGATAAGGGCAGAATGTACAGCAGGTACAAGGTATTCTGGTATATTAGGAAAGACCATAGGCAAAGGAAAAATAACACCTTGCCTTAAACAGTTTTATGTATTTGGTAAGGCTGGAGCATAAGGTGGAAGTGAAAGAAGGTCAATACTTACTCCTCTATAACATACGGAAATTTTCACCTATTTTTGTAATTGCCTAGTCCTGCCACCAGATTGTATAATGGCAGCACAGGAAAGTCTTGGAGCCTATTCTAATTCCAAATACAGGCTAAATGAATTTTCCTTGAGTGAATGAATAGTTCAGAGATGTACAGCCACACATGGATGCCAAGTTAAGGTAAAATGTATAGTCGTGTCTGCTTGCCCCTTGGACCATAATCTCCAAGAGGGTACACGTGTCTGTCTATACTGGATTCTCAGTGCTTAGCAAATAGGGACTACTTGTTTTCATCCTCTAATGGGAGGGATATGTAAGGCTGAGTTGGCAAGGCTCCAGACCTGGTTTCTTTGCCTGGAGTTCAATGTTAGGATTTTAATTAAGACTCACTTTGAACAAAGGGTTTCGTGACTAATGTTTGGGAGTTGCTGCTTTACTCAGTAGGTCTTTAGATGGGAGGATTTTTAGGACTAATCCACTTTAGGGAGGTAAGTGTAGAGGGATTCTGAGTGGAGGGCAGAACGGTTAGGAGACTTTGCCTAACCGAGTGGTTCTCAATACCCTAATGGCATGAGGAATGAAGAGAGAAGGATGAACAGAAGATTGGTAGGGAATAACTATGAAGAAGGCAGCCTATGAAAGGAGTAGGATGACCATAAGGTTTTCTTTAAAAAAAAAAGAAACAACATAAAATGTACCATCTGTCATTAAGTGTTTAGTTAAGTGCGACTAAGTATGCTAACACTGTTGTGCAATGATCACTACCATGCATCTTCAGAACTTAATCTTTCCAAACTGAAATTCTGTGCTCATTAAGCAATTTTCTCTCCCCTTTCCCCCAGCCCCTGGCAACTACCATTGTTTCCTCTCTATGAAATCTGACTATCCTGGTGGAATGATATATTTGTCTTTTTGTGACTGGCTTATTTCACTAAGAATATTATCCACGTTGTTGCATGTGCCAGAATTTCTTTCAAGGCTAAATATTCCATAGTATGGACCATATTTTGTCTACTTGTGAGGGACTCTTATGTTGCTTCCACCCTTTGCCTATTGTGAATAATGCTGCATGGGTGCACAGATGTGTCTGAGGCCCTGATTTGGATGGAGTCTCTACTTACAAGTGGAACTGCCATATCACTTAGTAATTTTAACTTTTTGAGACTGGCCATACCATTTTCACTAGCAGCTGCACCATTACCTTCTCATCAGCAGTGCACAGGGCTTCCAATTTCTTCACAACCTTCCCAATACTTGGTCTTGTTTGATAGTGACCATTCTAATCCCTGTGGGTGGTATATCTCACTGTAGTTTTGATTTGTAATCCCTGACTAGTGGTATTTAGCATCTTTTCATGTGCTTATTTGTGTAAGTTCTTTGGAGAAATGTCTACTGAAGGCCTTTGCCCATTTTTTAATCTTTTTTTTGTTGAGTTGTAGTTCTGTTTTTTTTATTTTTATTAAGGTATTGATACACACTTTTATGAAGGTTTCACAGGGAAAAACAATGTGGTTACTACATTTACCCATATTATCAAGTCCCTACCAATACCCCAATACAGTCACTGTCCGTCAGAGTAGTAAGATGCCACAGATTCACTATTTGCCTTCTGTGTGCTAGTTACAAATATTCTCCCATACTGTAGAATGCCTTTTTGTTCTGTTGATGGTGTCCTTTGAGTTGTAGTTCTTTATATTCTGGATATTAATCATTTACCAATGTCATTTGCAAGTATTTTCTCCCAATTTGTGGGTTGCCTTTTTGTTGATTTGTGCCTTTTGATGATTTACAATCTTGGTAAAATCTAATTTACCTATTACTTTGGTGTCATATAAATCATAGCCAAACCCAAGTGAACATCCCAATAAAGCGAGTCAACTTTTTTTTAAAGTCAGAGCAGACTATAGTGAGCTTGAAAGAGCTCTGTCTCTACAGATAAATCTTGGAAACAAAGTGAAATGAAAAGCAATTAGCAGGAAGGTATGTAATGAACCATTTTACCTAGTTTTAAAACTCACAGAACACTAACATCATTGGATACATACATATGTATTAGGAGCATCAACTTATGTACAGGAATTATACAGTTCATAATAGTGGTTACCTGTGAGGGTGGGAAATAAGAAGGGTGTATTTGGAGTTACCACCTGCACCTGTAATGCTAATTTCTCAGAAACAAAACAGCTAGGTGATAGGTGTACACAGCCTTTTATCTTCCTGTCTGAAGTATTCCCAATTAGAAAAAATAAAATTTCAAGTGAATGGTAGAAGCATGGTTGAGTATAGCTAACTCAGCTGAGGGTACCCTGTAGGTCTTTTTCCTTAGAAATCAGAAAGGTCATTTAGTAACCTGTGCCACAGCTGAGGGTACCCTGTAGGTCTTCTTCCTTAGAAATCAGAAAGGTCATTTAGTAACCTGTGCCAGTTTCAAATTCATAGCAAATGCTTCTAACAATCCTATGTATTTGGGGAATATTAGGTTTATTTTTACAGATTAAGTCGGAGGTTATCTAAGAAATCACTGTTAAATGGTCTGAGTATTTGAATACAGGTATTTTATCAGTTTGAAAACCAGCAAGAAGTCCTCTTCAAAAGATTTGTTGCAACTATATATTCCCTAATATGGGAACCAAAATTTAACTATTCTTTATTAGTTGTACATTTCAAGTGCGGTAAGGGAAAAAAACGGCTGCGGGAAAGGAATTGTTAGATGATAGAAAAGAGGTACCAGCAGCAGTTCCTGGAGGGACAAGAACAAACAGCACTACCTCCCTGAACCAAGAAGCGGTGTTTGCTAATTTTGTGGAGGGAAGGTGTCTTGCCAATGGGTTTCAGCTCCTAGTAAGTTCACTATGAATTCAGTGTGACCAAAGAAAATGACAGTAAAACATTCTTGGGGTGAAAGGGTTATATCCAACTTTATTTCCCCAGTGGCAGGTCAATCAACTAAAATCCCATTCAGAGTGAGTCTGCATTTAGCAAGCCGGTCTCTGCTTCTGGGCCCCTCTGCCCACACAGCCATCCCCAGGCCTGTCTGGCCTGCACAGTCTTCCCGCACAGCTGTCCTCTGGGCCTCTCTGCCTGCAGTCCTACACAGCTGTCCTTGGCCTCTGTCCTCAGCACTGCTACCACTCCAGCCTCTGTTCTTTCTTGGTCTTGCAGCTGTGCCACTGTGTCACCCAGAGCACTGGGTGGAGCTCTTTGTATTGCACATGTGTAGTGAGCCAGCCAACCAAGGCCAGGTGAGAATTCTGGCCACAGGAACTGTTTAACCACAGAAGGGTAAGGAAATAAGTCTGATTTGGCAGCCAAGGGGCCTGTGTTTAGCCTCCTGACTTTTGTTCATTAAATGATATAATCTGTTCTACTCCAGTCAAACCAAAGGTGGTCACTGTCAGCCAGAGAATTTGTGCTTCTTCAGGGTAGCCAACACATCTACCAGTGTGGCCTGTCCAGAAAGGGCTCTGCTCTTCAGGGGCTGTCTTTGGGAAAGTCACTTAACCTTTGGTTCTAGGCTTTCAGCCAGAGAATTTGTGCTTCTTCAGGGTAGCCAACACATCTACCAGTGTGGCCTGTCCCGATGAAAGGGCTCTGCTCTTCAGGAGCTGTCTTTGGGAAAGTCACTTAACCTTTGGTTCTAGGCTTTCAATCCCATCTGCTAAAATGCCCACTTACAGGGACTGAGATGATGAAATTCAGTAATAAAAATGTCTATCGTTCTTTAATCCCAGAAGCCTTCTATATGTTAATCCAGTTTGTTCTCATACTAACATTCCTGTGTATAATCACTTCATGATTTTAGGGTTCTTGCCTCTACATTTATACCAACTTTCCTATTTCCACATTTTAGTCCTCTGCTTCCCCCCCAAACTATTTGCTAACAATCCAAACTCAGATACTTCATTCTTCTTAAGACTTTTATAGGGCTATGTGTATTTATCATAAGCAGACTAATAGTATGTACCAGTTTGCCTGGTACAGTTCTGGCATAATTACTGTTACTGTCCTAGTGTATATGGCTACACTATTATAATTTACCTTGTAGACTGAAATGTTTGTACAATGTATGGTTAAGAACAAGAAGACTTACATGGTTGGTTAACAGTCAAAAATCCTCTTTCATTAAGTACCTTTTCATTTTCTACAAAGTGCCATCTTTTTATCCACATCCATTATGCACCAACCCTGTGCCAAGCTTTTCCATGTCAAGATGTAACCAATGCAAACTGATTCTCTAGAGGGGAGTTGAGAAAGCCTGCAAGTCATAGAAAGGGCTGATGACTTAAGAATAATCAGCATTTGCTAGTGGTTAATACCTTGGAAAGCAACTAGACAAGAAACTTGACAGTTAAATTGTATTCTCTAAAGACAAGAAGGTCCTAATGGCCTAGTATACCTTCTTACAAGATGTGAAAAGGCTGAGATTTTAAATGGGAATTTCTGATGCTAAACTTTTTCAACTGAAACTGAGGTTTTAAGAGTAATAAACATGTCATTTCTAAAGCTTTCATGTTTTTTGGAAGAGATCAAGCACCCACTGAATTCATCCAAGAAGCTGTAACTTTATTAATGATAGAAACAGTACAAATTTCAGACCAAGCTGTAGTTGCTCTTTTGAAACACCAAAAAAAGTCCTCATTTTCAGACAGTTACATTGTTAATTCCTGCAAGAGAGAAGAGATCATCAGAGGTAGTTATAGGCAAATGGACAGAATTCAGCTCACTAAAACCTGAGGCAACTCAGAAGAGGCTTCTTAACTGGGTGATATGAAGCACAAACAATAAAGTCACCCATAACTGGTCAAAGCCGAGGGAGTCAAGGAGCAAAGGCATGGACACTTACCATAATAGCATTTACAATATCATTACTGTTGTTCTTCAAGGCTCGGACTGCCTTTGCTCTTGACACATTTGCCTGTGACATCACCAATTCTATGTCCTTAACTTCCACACCTGTTTCATCAACCTAAGAGAAAAGGATGACACCTAGTCAACCCAAGGCAAGAATGACTTGAGTAGCTCCTTAAGAGTCAGGAGTCTCTTGAATCTAGTTCTTAATTAACTAAAAAAGTACTTCATGCAATGGGGTTTAAAAGCCTAGAATGTAGAATCCAATCATGGACACAGTAACAATCATTATTTGGAGTGGGAAAGTATAAAGGATACCCTTGTGTACCTCTTCCTCTTCACTCTCCTCTTGTACAGTTGGAGTCTGTGTGTTTTCTTGAATGTTTGAGACAGCTTCACCTTGAACTTTGAATTTCTCAGCAGCTGCTAGCTGTGCTTGCTGAGATAAATCCTCGATCTGCGTAAGGCAGAAAACGATATGCATGTTAGTAGATCAGTTTGCAGTAAAAGAACAAAATCATTTACCTTTCCCAAACTCTGAACTCACTGCAGTCTGACTTACTATATAGACAGCTTTAAATTGCATGCCCATCATTCGTGTTACATATCACTGCAGAAAGAGAAGCAGCTTAGGTCTAAAGCAGTGGTTCTCAACTGGGGTGGGGGTGATTTTTGTCCTCCAAGGTAACATTTTGTCAAATGTCTGGAATTTTTTTTTGGTTATCACAACTGATGTAAGGCTGCTACACTTACAGTGGTCACACAGGACAGCCCTTCCCCAACACAATTATATGACACAAAATGTCAGCAGTGCTGAGGTTGAGAAGCCCTGGATGAGAGCAGCTCTCAAGAACACATTCCTCACCTTGGCTTCCCCAAAAACTATGTAGGTGTCTGAAGCTGGGCTTTTGTAGACATCTGGTTTTGTGATAACAAATAGGATATTCTTCGATTTCCGGATAGTGACTCTGGTAACCCCTGTGACCTGCCGAAGACCCAGTTTGGACATAGCCTAAAGAACAGAAAACATCAGGGTCTGACTTCTAGAAGCAGCTTTAGCAAGGATGGAACGTAGTTAAAACCACATCCAAACAAAGCCTTTCCGTGGCTAAAAAAAGTTTATACCAGGCGCACCTTAAAGATATTGCACGTTCAGTTCCAGACCACTAATTAAACTAATATCGCGATAAAGGGAGTCAAATTTTTTGGTTTCCCAGTGCATATAAAAGTCATGTTCACACTATAAAGTGTACAATGCAGTCTAAAAAAAGTGTACATACCTCAATTTAAAAAGTTTATTGCTAAAAATATGTAAATCATCTGAGGTTTCAGAGAATCACAATCACTGATCACAGATCACTATATGACAAATATAAAAATGTTACAGGAAAAATAGCACCAATATTATTTGTTCAACACAGGGTTGCCACAAACCTTTAATTTGTATTAAAAAAAAAAAACACCACACAGTACCTGCAAAACGCAATAAAACAAGTTTTGTCTGTATTAAGAATACAGAATTGGTTTCAGAGCTCCTGGGTTTTCTGCCACTTTAACTAAATGTTGCTCTACCAGTACTAAGAATTACACTACAGTTCCTCCTCTCCAGACTGCTTCATCTGGACCTTTAATTCTTGTTTTAACTGAAAACCTTACCTTCCGTGCCTTTTTTTCACTCCGGCTCTGTTTTGCTCTACTGACTGGTTCTTCGTCAATTTCAGCAGCTGCTGCCAGCTAAGAGGATAAAAAATGAGTGACCTGAAACATGTATGACCTGGATACCACAAGCCCCATGGCGATTTATCTTTATAAGTTTCATGGCTCCAAATACCCAGGTTCTCTAGTTGCTTCCTTTCCCCTAGTACTGCTAACAGTGAGTAGAATACCCACCTGGGCTTGTTGTGTGGCCGCTTGTGTGGAATCCTGTTCCTCAAGCTCTGGTACTGATTCATCACTGTCAGATTCTGTTCCTGACCCTAGGATGACAAACACCTTTTACTATTTTATAGAAAAGATGATAAGAAGGAGGCATCTTACTACCAAGGCCTGCCTGGACTAGAGCTCAATCACTTGCACTAGATTTCACAAAGGTGAATAAAAACCAACTGATTTGTGTGAAGGCAGCTTGACAGTCCACAACTTAAGTCTCAAATTAGAGTGTACATATCCATTAAAGACCCAGCCCCAGAAATCAGAGGTAATTACTCCATATAGACGAGCAGTTTATATACCATAACTGCTTCGTTTCCCTCAAGGTTTTCACTTCTTGGTACAGACACCAATGACATATGAACTCCAACTTCCACCCAACAGCCCAAGCATTCCCGGAAGGTTCTAGCAGCCAAGGTGCCTCTGAATAGACCTAAGTGAGAAACCTAAGATCATAGCCTGGAGGCGCATCAGGGAGGGCACTTTCCCTTCACCCTTTAGAGTGGGTTAGGGGAGGCCAGAAGCAGCTGTGTACACATTTAGCTGTATTCTCAAAGCACTTACCCCAGCAATGTGATCTAATCAACACAGCTTGAAGATTTTCAATGATACAGACCTATAGTTCTAATAGTCACCTCTACTGGATGTTGTCCTGTGATTTCTTCCAAACATAATTCACACATTTTAAGTTTCCCTACATCAGAAGGCCAAGCGTCAGTTAGGACTACCGAGGGAGAAAGGAATACACTGCACCATTCTCAAGCTAGGAAAAACAGCCTTCTTAAGAAGGAGGCCCTGGGCACTGGTCATCACTAAGCCTAATAAAACTGAACAGAAATTCAAACAGTTCCAGATTTTCCAACATTTTAGCAAATCCCAGGCCCAGGAACAAGGTTAGTGATGTGGGAGAGATTAGAGCAAATGAGAGATCTAGGAAGTCTTGGTTTTCAATGTCTGATCAGTTAGGTAAAGATGGCAGACCACATTACACAAGATGACATATAATGGACTGAGGTGATGAAAACCAAGATTGTTTCACATTTTAAATTATCATTCTATGTTCTATGTCCAAACACAAGCATATACACTGGAGAAAGCGACACATCCTAGGGTTAGTACTGGTGGGTAGCCCCCAGCAGGGGTGTGGATGACACACCATGCACACGGCAAACCAAGGCAAAATACCCTTGTCGTTCTTCAGAACAGGCTGCTTGGCAGAGGGGGCTGGGGCAGGGATCCCAGCAGGTTTGGGTGTGGGCATGTTGACAAGGACCGGCTGGAAAGGCATTCCCCGTGAGATTGGTTCTGGGGGAATCAGAGGTGGCAGCTCGTCGGCAGCAGGGGCTGAGGGCTTACAGGGTGACTCCAGCACCAGTCCAGGTGAGGGCGGCAGAAACTGTTTAGGGAGCAGAGGGGCAACTGGGGAGGGCGTGAAAGGCAGAGAGACTGTTGGAGGGGTACATGCTGGAGAGAGAGATGCTGATCCGGCTTTAGGAAGGACCTTCTCAGAGATAGCTACTGCTAGAGGGGGGGATGTCTCAGACTCAGGAGCAGCAGCTAAGGGCTCCTTTGGGGAATGCAAGGAATCTGTGTCTTTTAAGGGAGAAATATGGAGGGCTTTTGGAGTCTTGGGAGAAGAGTCTTTCTGAGCTGAAACTGTCAGTAGAGGGGCTAGAGCCACTGCAGAAAGGGGTCCTTTAGTGCCATTCTCAGCTGAGGGATCTGTGCCCACAAAAGATGAAGTACAAGATATCTTGACTGGTGCACTTTCTGGGCCTGCAGCAACAAGTACTGTTTTGAGAGCTGTGGGGTCTGTCTTTACTGGGAGCCCTTTGGATGCCTGAGGAGCAGTGGACTCCAAGGTACGTATGACTATAACTGAGGAATTAGGGACCTCTTTGGGGGATGGGGTAGTTGGGGATCTTTGGGGGGATTCAGTTGCTGAGTCTCCTTTGGGGGCAGGAGGGGCTACAGCCAGGGGTATGGGGGTCCCTTTAGGGGATGGGGTTGCTGGGGTCCCTTTGGGAGCAGAAGAGGCCACTGCCTGGAGTGTCGGGGTCCCTTTAGGGAAAAGGGTCCCTTTGGGGGCGGGAGGGGCCACAACTGGGGCAGTGGGGGTCTCTTTAGGAGATGGGGTTGCTGGGTTCCATTTGGGAGGTGGGGTAGCAGAAGACTCTTTGGAGGATGGAGTTGCTGTGACTCTCTTGGGTGAGGAGGGAGCTGAGAGAGTGGGAGCTTCTTTGGGGGACAGAGGAGTGGGAGAATGCTTCTTGGCTAGTGACTCTTTAGGGACTTCAAAGGAAATACTGGCCTCTGGAATAAATGAAGCTTCAACTGGAGAAACAGAGGATAAGAGACTTCCAGCTGGAATATCAGGGACAGCAGATGCACTCTTAGGAGCAAGAGTTAAGGTGGTAGAAGTGGCTGAGCCCTTCCTGCTTGGAGGTCTTTGAGTCTGAGCAGACATAGCAGCCCCTAAAGGAGACGGGGAGTCAGTTAGGTAGGTTCCTTTGGAAGACGCAGTAACAGAAGCACCAGAGGCCTCAGCTGGGCACCCTTCAGGAGAGGAAGCCACAGGTGCTGATAGGAAGATATGAGAAATACCATGAACTTCCTCTGCATGTTGAGAAGGAGTACCAGCTGGGGTAGGAGAGGTAAAGGGCTCAGACCCAAGAATTTCACGGGCCAGTGCCACTGTAGCTCGAGAAGCAGAAACAATTTGGGGGGACAAAGTCACAGCTGGAGGCACAGGGCAACTTCCAGAGGTTGGAGGAACCAAGGGTGAAGTCATAAGGGTGGGAAGAGTGGAAGTACCCTTCTTGGCCAGTTGACTTTTATTAGCAGCTGAAGAGACAGCTCGTTCTGGAGAAGAGTTGCCTGTAACCACAGGCATGGGAATGGCTCTAGCAGCTGTAGGGGCCGCTCCAGCAGCAGCAGCCCTTTCCAAAGGAAAGGCCAATGTGGCTGGGGTGGTGAGGTAATTTTCAAGCAGCCAAGTCGCAGGGTCTGGGCTTGCAGAAGGACCTGTCTTCATTACAGAAGGTGGGAGCTTAACACCCAGAGGAGAGGGAGTCCTGGCTGGTAAAACTACAGGGAGACTATTTACAAGGCTTTTCTTTGATATGGAGGCTTCAGGAGAAAGGGATGTCTCCAGAGATGATGATGTATTTTGAGGAGAAGGGGCATTTTTTGGAGCTGCCAAGGCTGATGGTAGTACTGTAGGGTCTTTCTTGGCAGGGAGTCCTGCCTGGCCTGATGAAACAGGGGCTCCTACAGGAGAGGCAGGTACAGTTTGGAGACCTTTTTGTGTTCGGAACTTTATCAGCACTGATGCAGGGGGACTTCTGGAGTTGTCACTGGCTGGCAAAGGATGAGAAACCGGTATCCCCAGAGTGGTCATTACCTGAGGAGTAGGAAGCTCTTGGGGGCCTATAGGTGTCATAACCAAGGCAGTATGGGAAGCTGAGTCCTTACTACTTAGGGGACCTAATGAACCTGGAGACGCATGAGCAGCTACCTCAAAGGCAGCAGGTGCTGCAGAGATTGTAGAGGGGTTAGTCACTGCAAGTGGGGTGGTTCCAACAAAAGAAACAGGAGCTTCTATCAAGTCTTGAATCCCTGGAGAAGCAGGAATCTGGGCCACTGAAGGCTGATGATGAGTGGCAGCAGAGCAGCCTTTGAGAATGAGAGCAGCTGTAGGAAATAATGGAGAAGCCCCACTTGACGAGCCACAAGGGCTGCAGGAGGCACTGCCAGTGACAGTGGATGGGCTTTTGTCAACAGACAGAGACAGAGGGCAAGTTGGAGCCACAGAGGCAGGAACCACGCCATTTCCAGAAGGAAGGGGAGGAACTGCAGCTCTCTGAGAAGGGAAAGAGGGATGACCTGCAGAAATGGTACCTGCTATAGGGTACGGCAGAACATTAGGGTCGGTTTGACCTGAAGGTTGGACAGAACAACCTAGAGAACTCTGATGTAAAGGTGCAAGATGAGAGCCCAGAAAAGTAGGGAAAACTGGGGGGATGGTAGAAGCCACAGGAAAACACTGGGCTGAAAGAGGTAAAACAGTAGGTGGACTAAAGGGTCCCTTTAAGCTGAGGCTTCCAGAATTTTCTGGAGAAATCAAAGCTGGGGAAATAGGGTTGTCTTTGAACTGACAGGTGATGGCTAGGGAAGTGGTGGCTTGTGTCTGAGGACATGAGGCTACTCCAGACTGAACAGAGGCCAAGGGAGTTACAAGATGGGAAGGAACAGCACTGACTATACCTGGTGGAATGGGGTTACCGTTTGGATTAAGGACTACTTGAGAGGGAGCTTGAACAGGAGAGGTCTTTAGTTCTGAGGAAGCAATGGGAGCTGAGGGAGATGTCACTGACCCTGATTTGGCCACAGCAACTGAAGGAGGTGAGGTAAGAGGGTTGGGTAGATAAGCAGGGTTCTTCTGAACCGAGTGTGGGGCCAAGGCCACCAGAGCCAAGGGAGCTGAAGAGGAATGGGAACCCTTCAGAGTTGGAGTTATCATGGGACAGGCCAGAGCTAAGGCAGCTGGGGAGATGGGAAGAGACAGTATTAGGTTTGGTAGGAAAGCTGGAGTGTCAGCAGGGAAAGGGGCAGCTCCCAGAGGCAGGGCTGACTCAGAGGATGATGGGGGAAAAGGAGCTTCAAAAGGGGTTGAGGCAACAGTAGAGGGAGAAAGGAATGGGGAAGGCTGGCTAGAGGTTGCAAGAGGGCTCTGTTGGGGGGCCAGGGAGCAAGGAGGGGGAAGGGTAGGCCCAGGCTGCCCTACGGCAGCAGTGACACTCAAGGCTGAAGATGCAGGAAGCACAACTGGAGAAGAAAAGCAAAAAAATGGGTAAAGATGGGAAGAGAAGGAAAAAACAAAGGTTGAGTTATGCAGCCCAACTTCGTACAACTTGCCTCACAAGAAACACTGGCATTTTTAATCTAAGAATGAAAGTCACCACACAGGATTAGACAAAGGTGACAAGGAACAACCACCTTCATGGTATCCATCTCCTCACCTCCCATGCCACCCAAGTTCTACCAAAATAAGCAAACTATTTCAGGGTGGAAATCACAACCTGAGAGCAGCATAGTAGTCTCCAAGTGGGCACACTGGCTCAGGAGTAAACTGGGAATAGCATGCTTTCCACACTTGCCCCATGCCTTCCCCCAGCCTCCTCCAAGGAACCCTATGTCCTTCTCACAGGCCATAGAGTCACCACTACATCAGCTGGTCTACCCTGTCCACCCCAGGGTCATGAACTAACAGAAACAGATACCGAAAACTGGAACAAGCAAGGTAGTGAGCAGTGACAATGAGGAGGAAGCAGACCTGAGTGAAAAAAAAAAAACAGGTCTTTATATGCTCAGGCTTCCAAACAGGTCAGGAAAAATCGGACTCTTATTAATGTTTCAGAATGGAGGTGTGATGGCACAACTCAATTCTTCCTAAACTCTTCAAATTTAATGGTCACTTACCCTCCCTATGCCTCAGTTTACCTAACCAAAACAAAAAACTAACCACAAAAGGGCTGGATTCCAGTCTCTACAGACCCTTCCTAGATAATATTAGCTCTTTAGACATCAAACTAAGATGAATTAGACCACCAGGGAGAGAGCTTAGTCACTAGGGTAAGGACTGTATTTTGACACTGTAAGCCAATTTGTTAAATCAGACTGTGCTTGTATTTTGGAAGTAGAGAACTGGAGTGAACACATTGGGCCCCACCCCTTAGTTTGGTTAAGTATGTCTTTCTGCCAGAACAGACCAGTATTTGGCACTACAGTAAAGCTAGGCAAAAGATTTTCTGTATGATGGAAAAATATATATTCAGGAGATAACACAGGATTAGACCAACAAATATTCAATGCCTAGGAGAATTTATTTTAAAAAAAGCCCATAGCATCCAAATCCACAATACTCCAGCCAGTAACTCTTAAGTTCTTACAGTAGCTTACCACAGAAAAGACAGGTGACTCAGTCAGTTTTTCCTGGAGAGTTGGTTGGTCAAAGTCTCATTACAGTGCAGATGCTTTCAAACACATTAATCAGGATCCAAAACTTTCCATATTTTTCTCTGACTGGACCTCAAGATGGGATAGGCCCAACCACTTGCTTTAGACACTGTAACCAATTCTCTGAGCTAGTTTTCTTATTCTAATGTTTATTTATAGTTATAGAAAAAATTCTGAGTGTTTACCATTGGTACTTACAGCATTATTAAACCTGTACAAGCTCAAATTATTCAGAAGTAAGCTTAACAGCGCCATCTAAGGAATACTTTAGAAGCAAATGGCATTCGTTTTGAAGCTTGATACCAGATTACTTTAAATTTATCTGAATCTGTCTCCACATTTGTAAAGCCAAGTTGTTCAATAAGACTCTAAGGTTTTTTTCAGCAACAATTACAGGAACTTAAGAGAACAGTCCTTTGTCTTTCCCTTCCTTAAGTCCCTTGTATGGTTCAAGGATTTCATAAAGCTCATTCCCCAGCTCAGAAGCCCCCCTCCTTTTTTCTTTTCTAGCAGCTGTTTTAATCCCTTCAGCTGTTCAAATCAGACAGGAGGGGAGAGAGAACCTTAAGTTCAACTATAAACAGCTCCATTTTAATTCCAGTACACAGAAATTGCCCTTAACTGACAGGTGGAGTTAAAAAAAAAAAGAATTCACCAGAAGAAAAAAAAAAGTGTGTGAGGATGGAGGTTATAGCCTTATTCCCTTCATTTAATTTTGCACAACTGACTCAGCAGTAAGACAATCATTTTTTTTTCACTACTCCCTTGTTTATAACAATGCTTTTTAACTGCAACTCAAAACTTGCCCTTATAATACGTTCTACATCCCTACATCCATTAACTTCAAAGCTGAAGACCTGCCAAAGGTTTTATTTCAACCTTGGGTTCCAGGAGAGCTGTTGGTATAGGCACTACTGGAGCATGCCAGAAACATCTCAGCAACAACCCACAAGACAACTACCCGAGGAGGGCCCTGGGACTCATTAGGACACATTTACCATCAGCACACCTCTCATCCAAACATGTGATGGTGGCACAACGCCAAGCTCTGCCATCTAAAACCTTAATGCCACTTGCTGGCTGAAACTTCACAAAAGCTCAGGTCTCAGGTCTCCTTGGCCTGCCAGTGTGTCACCCAGTTCCAAGAGTAAAACTCACTGAGCCCACTCCCTGCTCAGCTTTCCTGTGTGAGTTGAAGGTTCACAGCCAAACTGCGTTTGAGGCAGCTGCCATACCCTACAAAGCAAGCCAGGGACCTTTTAATATTCCCAAATCTCCAATACACTGTCTTTATTCCACTCCCTAATGAAGTCTCTCCAGGACAGCAGTTAATATGAACTCTCATCCCTGGTAAAGCTACAGCCCCATCCTAATTCTTTAATGAGACAACCCTGACGGATACAAGTACATTCCCTTTGCTATTTTACCCCATAAAACAATCTAAAATAACCGCCAAGGAGCTAGGGGAGCCTACCTGTCTCAGCCTGGGGCTGTGGCAACTCCTGCTCTGTAGCAGGAACGGTTTCTGTGGCTTCACCGGGCATTTCTGAAGGGAATAAAAACGAAGCCTGAATTGATTGGAATCCGTTCGGCCGCCCAACCCGGAGTCACGTATTCTTAAAAACTCTGCGGGGAGCTGTTCCGAAAAAAATCATGAAGGTGTATGGGATAATTCTCGCCAAAGCAGCTGGGAACAGGTGAGAAATATGACGCGACCCTCAGATCTCTGACCAAGCGAATCACCTTCCACCGCTCCTCTTCACTCCGCAGAGAACGGACTTCCCAGTGCCCAGGGTTCCGTTTTATTCCAGGCTCCAAAATCCACAGGGAAGCGATCACCACCGCATCTAATCCCGAGGAGAGGGTCCGGGCCCGGCTCCCAACCCCGGGAGACTGCGGACGCTCCCGGCACCACCCCCGCTCACGCACGCTCCTGGGCTGGGCTTCCGAGACTAAGGGCCTCCGCCTCTCGAGAGCCAGCAGGGGGAAGAGTGTCTTAAATTTAACACTCGTGTGTCGCAGGAAGAACCGTGAGGGGAGGCTCCCAAGGCTCCCTCAACCTCCTCAGGGTGCCCGTGAAGCTGTTCCTAAAGCAAACAGCAGTCCGCTTGCGCCCCCAACACCACAACAGCTCCCACCTCCCCAGCCCTGGACTCCCGGCCGGCCCTCGACCCTTCTGCTCTGCTTTTGCCAGGGCACCAACCGCAGACCCCATTTTGTCCGGAGGCCCCAAAGCCATACTTCCCAGGGCCGATTAGGTAGCCGGTGGCCCATAATGACTCCAGCTCTCCTTAGCTCTCAGTCCCTAGGACAGCGTAGCCGCAAGGAAGGCGGATGGCTGCGGATAGAAGGGAGTGGCGAAGACAGCACTTACTTTGAGGTGAACGCGGAGCCAAGATGGCGACAAAGAGACCGAGTGAGGGAGAGCGTGACCCACGCCTGTTGCGGGAGTAAGCCGGCGGGGGGCGGGGCGGGGCCGGAATCCGATTCCGGGTCACGAGCTGCCGGCAGCCACTTCCTCCGACTGACATGTGCAGCCGTTCCGCGTCTCAGGGAGTTCGGCGCGGATGCGGATGCGCTCCCTGGCTGCCACCCGGATCGGCGCCACGCGGTGCACAGACAGCCGACCTGTCCCCGGTCCCCAAGTTGAGGCGTTTCTGATGCCCGAAGGGAAATTGCTGAGGAGCGACCTCTGCCCTCCGGTCAGCGACGTACCATAGCGGTATCACTGCGACTTCCCGAGTACTCTTTCTCAAATAATGTAGGAAAATGAGGTATTAAGTAAACTCAGTGCCAGAGATTGTAGTTTCATCGCTGGATGGTAGCAGTGACCTAGGTTACCCTTCAATTTTATTTTTGGAATACACTATTTAGACCAATGTCGAAACTATTACAAAGGTGTAGATATTCCTCCTCAGTAAAAGAACATAAGCATATATACATTTTGCTTGCAGTTTTGCGCACTTCTTAGATACCGTGAAACTCATCCATTCTAGGTGTCCAGGATTCCTCGAAAAGAACCGATGCTTTATATTGTAAGATTCTTGAAAAGTAGCATGTAAATTCACTGTATACTAGTGAAAAGGCTACGGGTCCTGACTCATGTACCCTCTCAGCCCTACAAAAAGCCTCAACAAATGTATTACTGAAACCGGCTAACGCTGTTTGAGCTAATGGCTTTGACAGCAGTGGCTGCCATTTAACAACAGTGATCATTTAAAATGTAGCTCTTATAGCTACTTTAAAATTTATAAGATCTTTACCACGGCGAAATTGAGAATTAGGAAATGAGATAGTGGAGTTTACCAGAAACGAAACTCTGAAATTATCGTCAGATACAAGTAATATTGTGGCATGATTAAGAGCATGGACTTTGAAGGCAGAATCCTATGTCTGAATTTCGGCTTCATCACCTAATAGTGACCTTAGGGATTTAATTAACCCAGTGTCTTGATGTGTAAAAAGGGGATAGTAGTAGCTATTCATAGGATTGTTAAGATTAGGTAATATATGTACGTTACTTAAAAACTGTTTATTGTTACTATTAACATTAGACTACTTAGGTGAGTGATCTGGAAGATTTGCCAATGCAGTCCAATCGCCTTCAGAAGAAAGGTTCAGCAATAGCCAATCATCTCCTTAGGCACATAAAACTATTTTGACCATTCCCCCCTTTTCCCAGCAACCCTACTGACTTTTGTTAATGAGTAGCTAAGGAAGGGTATAATTTTCTTTGATTGGGTTTATAAATTGACCAAGTTTGGAGATGGAAACCAGTTCTATGCCCTTTGTTTCTGCAATTCTCATATGTGGATGAGTTGGCAAATCAGAAAATTGAGAAGTCAATAGTCTTTAAGCCTGTCTCTGCTATCTTCAGAACCAAAGATTCATTTTTATGCTAATATAATGTTCTACAATTAATTTTATGGACTCATATATCCAGCTTTTGTCGAAGAGCTTGAATGACAATACTTTAAAATTCTTTAATGCTAGACATACTGCAAGCTTAAAACATCTCTTGTTGAAAGCAGAATACCAGTCTTTCCACTCTCGTTCTGAGTTCTTACAATGGACTCATGAGTCTTTAGTGATTTTGTATTCAGGCATTTTAACTGTCTGAACAACATAGTAAACAGAAGCTCAAATAATGGGGACTTTGGCACAAGTCTTTAATATTTTTTTCTTAAAAAACTAGAGGAGAAAGAAATATAAGACACTCAATGTGTTGACTGCATTATACACTGTTTTATATAAACCAAAAGGTAAAAGAAAAAAAAAGATTGGCTATAGAGAAAACAATGTTAAAAGACATGCAAACAAAATTTCTATAAATCATGGAAACGCAAGCCTGGTAGCTTGCTTTTCAGCATTTCTTAGTAGACAGAATATAAACCAGAACAACTGTTTCCTTAGATTACTTGTAAAGCCAGGCAAAGAAACCTGATGCTTCAAGATCTACCACAAAACCAAATATGGAAGAACAGAAATCTTTAAGAAGAAATTTAAGTATTTGGATATAAAGTCAAGTGTTCTGACAAAACAGGTTTTATGTTGGCTAAATTGGTTATTTCTTCCAAACTGCTTTTTAAAAAATTTTATTAAGGTATTATTGATATACACTCTTATGGTTTCACATGAAAAAAAAAGTTATTACATTTACCCATATTATCAAGTCCCCACCCATACCCCAATATAGGCACTGTCCATCAGTGTAGTAAGATGCCACAGATTAACTATTTGCCTTCTCTGTGCTACACTGCTAAACTGCTTCTTTATGGGGGAGGCTAATCCAACTATTTTCTGAGGGAAGAGGAGTCAACTGCAACAGTTGAAAAAATACACTAGGCCCTAATGTGGACACTCTCCTTTGGTGATCTTTTCAACATAATTATTTCTCAAGAAAAGGAAATTCTGCTTTGAGCATTAAGATTCATACATAGTTCTGATGTGTTTATTAAATAGCTCTTGAAGTTATCTGCTTCTTGGTTGAAGGCAGAAAATATCCACATTGGTTTGAGAGTAGTTATCTTCAGAAGTCTTTTTGTAAATCTAAAATAGAATAATTTTTATCAAAGGATAGTAAAGGAAAACAAAACAAAGCCCATTTACTTTCACGCTCTGATTTGCTTAATGCTTCCATTAAATTTCTGTCATGCATAAGGACTTCCTTTCACATTTGCTGAGGCTCATATTATAGGTCAGTACAGAACCAAGAATACAAAGGACTTAATAGAGCCAGTTGGAATGGCAGCTTCAAAGAGGCTTTCCAAGTTGTCATCACTGCTCATTCAATAAGCACGTACCTGAGTGTCTACTATGAGTAGAGCATTATCTTAGGCATGCTCTTTAGTTATCACAGTTTATTAAAAAATGAAGTGGAAAGTGAGTTTGTATTGTTTTGACATTGCCAGTTTTCTATGGTATCCACCAATCTCTTGAGTATTATTCACAGCTGATTTTTTTTCCCTTTTGGCTTCACATATGCTCAGGTCTTTCCTTCAAAGAACTCTTCCTTTGACAGTAATATCCTCTTAGCACCTCCTCCTATTTCCTATATCCAACAGGATTTTATCAGTTTGCTACTGCATCTGACACTTGATAATCTCCTTGAAACTTTCCTTTCCCCTGGTTTGTGACACTTTTACTTTCATTTCACCTCTTCATTTCCAGATCATTGCCAGATGTCAAGGATGGCTCCTGTATTAGCACCCTTTGGAAGATCTCCAATGCTGCTGTCCTAGTGGGAAAGCTCAATTGGCCTCTTAGGCTCTATTGTATCCCCTACCACTCCCCAGATATATTGTTGCTAGATTTATCTTTCCAGATGTAACTACAAGTCATGATATTCCTTTCCTCAAAAGCCTTTAAGAGCTTCCCTGTCCCTTTTGATTTTGAATCAAGGACAAACTCCCAAGACTGGAATTCAAGGCCATCTATACTATGGCTTGTCTGCTTCTGCAGATTTTATCCTATCACTTCCTGACACACTTTTCCCCGTATCAGATGTTACTTGATCACTTCCAGTGGCCTGATGCTTTCCTGCCTTTATTCCTTTGCTTCTGCTATTCTCGAACCCTGTGTACTTCTCTCATCAAATCTCTGCTTGTGGAAATCCTACTTATATTTTGTGGCATGGCATATTTGCATTGGGGATTGAATTCCTACAGCAGCTCACTGAGAAGAGTTCAAATACCACCCTTTTCATATGAAATCTCCTCAGGTTCTCTCAATCAGATGAGATCTCTAGGTATTTTGTACTTCTTTGTTTTGTACCAGTTGGTACTTCCTAAGGGCACTGAGGCATGATGTTGAATTCTTTTTTTTTTTTGATTAAAAAAAGATTTAAAAAAAAATTTTGGTATCATTAATATACAGTTACATGAACAACATTGTGGTTACTAGATTCCTCCCATTATCAAGTCCCCACCACATACCCCATTACAGTCACTGTCCATCAGCATGGAATTAATCTTTGTTTCCTTTACAGTACCTGACACACAGAAGGTGTTTAATGAGTATGTGTTGAAATGAAGTAAAGGATGTTAATTTTCAAAAACTCTGAGGATAGTAGGATAAATCAGTAACTTTTCTGGGGAGGGCAAAAACGATAGATCTAAAATTATTCACTTGCTGGGTACTTTACTTATTAAGATCTAAACAGCTAAAAGGGAAACATAGACTCTTACCACTTTTCTTGAGGAGCTCTCCTTTTCGGGATTTATCCAGGTTTTCAAGAAACTGTTCAAAAACTTTTATATAAGAAGCAAGATTGGTCTTCTTGTAATCTGAATTATGAAGACCAGGCATTATCATTAGCATTTGGCAGCAAGAGGAACAGGAAAGTATAACTGTTCTTTAAGAATTCTCTGGAACAGTGCTGTCCAATAGAAATATAATGAGAAACATGTAATTTTAAATACTCACTAATACCTTAAAAAGGTGAAATTAATTTTAATGTTTTATTTAACCCAGTATATCTAAAATATTATCATTTCAACACATAATGAAAATTGAAACATTTTACACTCTTGACTGTCTTTGAAATCTAGTATTTTGTGCTTAAAGTACATCTCAATTAGATGCTGTATTACCATCAGAAATTTGATCTATATTTAAATTTAAATTATAAAATATACAGTTGAAAAAGTAGGCTCATATACCCAAATTTTCCAAACATACTTAAAAACTTTTACAGTAAGTGAATTATCAGTTTTAAATTTTAAATTAATTTAGAAAAATCAGTTCTGTAGTTACACTAGTCACACTTCAAGTCCTAATAGCCACATGTGGCTGCTATATTAAATAGTGCTGCTCTAAAATATCCAAACCACATGTACTTATCTCCTCTAGTAGTCAGACCTTCCAGTATTAGACCAACATACCTACTGCTGTGTTAAATCTTATCCAATATTCTTTTCTTTAGAAATTGTGGCTTCAAAAATAGTTTTACCAACAGAGCAAAACATTAAAGATGAGAAGTCAGGGCCATGTCTTCTGGAGACAACAGGAAGTTTAAAGTTACAGTACATTAAATATAGGTATTCTTTGATTTATAAAATAGCCTTAAAAATGTACATAACAAAGTTTTGAATATAGAATCTTAACCATCCATTTAATGATGCAATCTATAATTAATACCCAATAGGGGCAAAATCTGATTAAGAACAAGATGAAATTTGAATTTTGGTAGTATGCTGTATCTGCATGGAATTAAGAGTCCTCATAACAGTTTACTGAAAAAAAGTAAAGAAAGAAACTATACTTAAAAATTTAGTAAATGTTATCTAACTTATTACGTGGGACTAGAAAAGGAATCTCAATGAGGGTATTAAGAATGAATATCAGAACTGTGGCAATTTTGAAAGTATATTAGAATTTTGTACTAAATCTTTATATGTGATTTTATGATAAATACTTATACAGAGGAAAATTTTGCTTGAGATCAACAACATAGTATTTTGAACCTTCAATTCAAGATTGGAAGCTCCATGGATGTAGTCTCTCTCTCTCTCTCTCTCTCTCTACATATATATGTGCTTCACTGTTGTGGAATATATGATATGTATTCAATAATTACTAAGCAAATATTTACTAATACCTGTTAAATATTAAGTACTATGCTAAATTCTAAAAAAGTATAAGCCATACTATGTGGTCTCAATAAGTTTTTAATAAATTGAGAACACAAATCCTACATATAGTAATAGAAAACAGTATATAAAGGTGAAATAGGCATATGGATAACTGTGAGTCCAAAGAATTGACCAATCAGTTTTGACAGGTGGCTATGAACTGGGTCTTAGAAAAAAAGACATAATTAGATGGTCAGAAGGACACCACTCCAGGAGGGAGGGGGCAAATGGTACTAATCTGAAAAAGGGCAAAGGCTTAAAATCATACCAAACTATGTAAGGCACAAATTCCAATTTGGTCTATTTAATTAAACTTAGTAATGTTATTGTCCCAATTCTCTATATTCTCACTTAGTTCTGGCTGCTTCATCTTCCAGAGATACAGAAAACTGTGCTAAAGTCTTTCTCTTTTTGTGCCCCTAAAACTTTTTCTTTTTTGTACATTTTACCAAAACATTCCGGTGTATGTGTTAATATGTTAACCAGTGATTGTATATTCCTGAAACTCCTTTATGCCTGCAGGGGGCCTCATACTTTTTGTCAAAATAAAATGACCTCCAGTGATTTTAGTGCTTAAAAAAAAAAAAAATCATACAAACTAAAGAGAATAATAAGGAACTTATGTATCACTTATTCCAACCTCCCAACACTAGGAAATGTTGGATGGCTAATAGCCTATTTACGAATACTTGAAATGACAGTTATTTTTGAACAATTCTATTTATTAAAAAATTCCTCCTTTTGAGGAGCCAAACTTGCTTCCTTAAAACCTCTGAACTAAAGAAAAAGATGTCCACAGAGACATTCTTACATTTTAAAAGTTGTGTTAAAGTAACATACTTTGTTAAAAAGAGTAAAACAGTATTAACAGGTTTATAATGGAAAAATAGCAGCCCCCTGCCCTAATTCTGATCACTCATTCCTCTTGAATAGCAACCACTTTTTTCATTTATAGCACTTCTAATAAATGAACACTTCCATTATTTAGAAATTTGAGGCCATTCTTTCTAGGTCTGTGGCTTCTTTGGGGGGAAGGGAAGAAGATAGGGGTCTGAAAACTCTTTAGATCTTAATTCTCAGTGTTCTGAAATTTCGAAATGATGTGCCTTGGTGTGTAAGTCTGTTTTCTTATTATGCTGAGCCCTTTGAATAAAGGGCTTATTTCGGGGATGTTTCCCTATATAATATTGATTTTTTCCTCCCTATCTCCCACCCCTCCCCAAAATGCCCATAGTCAGATATTAGACCTCCTGAACTAGTCCTCTATAATTTTTATGTTTTTCTTCCTTAAAACTCCATTGAGTTTTTAAAAATTCTGATTATGTTTTTGATTTCTAAGACGTTGTTCTTATTCTGTTTCTTTTTCCTAGCATTCTGATTTTGTTCCATGGATGCTCTATCTTCTTTTATTTTCTGATGATACTAGTTAAAAAAAAGGCTTTGTTTATTCCCTGTATGGTCTGTTTTCTCTGAGTTCCTTTTTCTAGTTTACTCTTATTTTTCAGGCTCTTAGAGATTTTTTTCAAGTTTTCAAAACACAATACTTATAATCACTCTACAAACATTAATAGTGTGTTTAATACTATGTTTAAATAATATGTTAGAGTTGGAATTGATGAAGTGATATTTGAACTCGTATTTCTATTAGGTCCTCTTGTTGGATAGAACAAAGTTTATGCCAATATAGCCACTTTTATATTTATTTTAAAGTCAGCTTCAGCCCATCAAATCTTACTAAAGAGAAATGTGATTTTGAAAGGGTAGCAACATTTGACAAAAAAATGTCAACCAGAGAGCTCAGATCTGCATTGTCCCTTACAGTAGTTGCCGCATGTGGCTATTAAAATTAAAATTAAATGAAATAAAAAACCCAGTTTCTCACATTTCAAGTTCCCAAAAGCCAGGTGTGGTTAGTGACTACCATAATAGAGTGTACCTAGGATTCATCATCACATGAAGGTGCTACTGGACTCTACTGCCACGGAGTGTCTCTTGGGTGTTGGCATTAGAAGATTTGACTTCTATTGTAGCAGGAAGATTTATAAATTCCCCAGCTCCTTCAAACTTTTGAATATACAATGTGATCATAAAAAAAAGTATTACAATAACATTCATCTGAACACATCAAAAACAAAGAACAAAGGTTCTGCAGACATAGTAGTTATTAAACAAGTAGCTGTTGAATATAAAAGACTGAAATTCAAAAGACCATCAACACCAACTGACAATTTAATCTTATGGACTCTGACATTTCGATGTTGCTTAGTAAATATTTGTTGGTTCAAATTGGATACAAGAACACCATTTGGGCAATTGATGAAGACAGAAAAATTACTATACTATTACTTGTTACTGAGCTGGTTTCAGGCTAAACACTGATCCACTCTGGGCTGAATCCAAATAGAATTAATTACTGGAGTGATAGAAGGATGTGTGTATACACAGCTAATGTCAAAGTGAGATTTCAATATATTAACCTACCTCTGGTTCTATGTTTGATATCAGATTTAGCTTCATTCTCTTCTTCCTCTTCATTAGTGGAAATGGCATCTAATTCATGACAGATGGAGCTACAAATAATAGAATAAGGGACTTTTAAAGTTGGTTTAAAAAGGGAATTTCTTGGTCAGCATTATCCAACATGATTATGTACAAAAAAATCATGTGGCCAACTAAATTTGGGATATTCTAAAAATCAGTCTCTTCTTGGAGTTTCCATGCACATTAGCAATAAAAAACTTTTTATCTGTTTAAGTCAGCATTTCCAAACTTATCTCAACCTAAAATTTTTTTCTTGTTTAATAGCAGCTGAAGAACGTGTGTTGTGTGGAACTCATTAGAAAAAGTGGCTTTATCAGGCATCATCACCTAAGCCTCAGAACAGCCTCTCTGGAAGAGATTATTCAGTCTACTTCAAATTCGGAACAGTCACAAACAAAAAAGAGTAATCAACGATCTGGAACATACATACCTTATGGTTGGAACAGTAAAAGGATCAAACTGATCCACTTTCTGTAAATCAATAGGCACAGAAATTCGACCTATAAAACCAAAGTTGTAAAATGATGACTGGGGAATTCAAATCATTATAGGCTGTCTCTCATTAAGTTATTTTTGGCTAAAATTTTAATCTAAGACTTAGAAAAAAGGTTTGACTTATTTGTTAACAACAATATTTAGAAACAGAGATTAAAATTATGTCCTTCCACACCAAAAAATAGGTGTGAAAAAACTGTTGAGCTATTACCTAGCTGCTCTTATCTCTGTTGCTGTTTCTGTCTCTCTTTTCCTAATAGCCTTCTATATTCAGATAAAACGGTCTCAAATTTGTGAGTCCTGAAAATGGAACAAAATAGATGGAAACACTCCATTTCATTACCTTGGTTTGTTTACTGAGATCAGAACAGACACCTATATGTTGGCATCTTCAGAAAGCATTTTGAAAATAAAATAGACAACATTATACTATTTTACAAGATCCACAACTAAAATCTAACACATTTCAAAAAAGGGATAATGAATCTAAAAGAATTCCAGATGAATAATAAGTAAAATAACTGTGGGAATTGGGAGTTGCTGTTTGAAGACAAGAGTAAAAAGACTGCAGCTTCTTAATGGGAAAAACGATATACTCAAAATGCAAATATTTATGAAGGAACATAATTAATTTACCCAAACATTGAATATCAGAATATTCTAAAATTAAATTTAAAACGCCTATTAAGAATTAAGCTGAAACTTTAGAATTAAACTTAAAATACATATTAAGAAATATTACAGTTATTACCAAAAGAAGTTAAAAACACATGTTGACAAGTTTGAAAAGGGGCTATATATATATGTAAGGACTACAAAGCCATTAAAGATTGTTAAAGAAAACTAGGCAGTTTCGGATACCTGAATGTGCGATACTTTCCTAAGCACTTTATATTTCATAACTTCACAACCCATGAGGTAGGTACTATTATTATCCCCATTCTATGGATGAGAAAACTAAGGTAGACAGTAATCTGCCTAACATCACACAGAGTGGCACAGTTGGACTGCTGACATTAAAAACAACTATACGCAGTACTTTTTCTACTAAGTCCTCTTGTTGAGTAGAACAAAGTTTATGCCAATATAGCCACTTTTATACTTATTTTAAAGTCAGCTTCAGTCCATCAAATCTTACTAAAGGGAAATGTGAAAGAGGAAAGCTAAAACTACTGAAAAAAAATAAGGGAGGAAGAATAGTGGAAAAATTACAGAAGAGGACAGCTAAAACTATTGAAAAAGAAATGTGGGACACAGGAGGAGCCAAGATGGTGATGTGAGAAAGGCAGTGGAAATCTCCTCCCAAAACCATATATATTTTTGAAAATACAACAAATACAACTATCCCTAAAAGAGAGACCAGAAGATACAGGACAACAGCCAGGCTACATCTACACCTGCGAGAACCCAGCACCTCATGAAGGGGGTAAGATACAAGCTGCGGCCTGGCGGGACCCGAGCGCCCCTCACCCCAGCTCCTGGCGGGAGGAGAGGAGTTGGAGCGGGGAGGGAGTGGGAGCCCAGGCCTGCTAAATACCCAGTGCTAGCCATCCGCACCGGGAGCACAGGGACACAGTGTGTGGGGTGCTGAATACTAGGGAAACAGAACACTAAAACCTGTGAGTGGGTCCCCGCAGCCAACACCCCTGGGACAAAGAAAAGTGAGTGCCTTTTGAAAGTCTTAGAGGGATAGGGTCCCCACAGCTGGACGGAAGTGTACCGGCATACTCAGCCCAGCAGCTGGAAATCCCAGGGAACTCTGGGCACCCTAAACCCCTGGGTGGCTGCGCAGCTCTGAGGCCCCACACGGCGATAAACAGCCTCCTGCACGTTCCCCCTGTGACGCTGCACTGCCATAGCGGAGCAGCAGCCTGAGAGTGGCCATGCCCACAGCAACTACGGAGCTTACTTCACAGTGGCCGGGCAAGAATCAGCTGCGCACAGCTACCTAGAACAAGCCACTAGGGGTCACCGTTCTCCCAGGACAGGAAGGCCACAAACTAGCAAGAAGGGACGTTCTCCCAGTTGACACACGCGCCAGCTCCCGACAACTACCTCTATAGCCACGAAAAGACAGAAGAATTTGATCCAGACCAAAATCACAGAGACAACCCCTAACAAGGAGCTTGGAGAGAGAGACCTAACCAATCTCCCTGAAAAAGAATTCAAAATAAAGGTCATAACCATGCTGATGGAGCTGCAGAGAAAAATGCAAGAGTTAACGGACAAAGTAGGGAGGTAGACTACAGAAATAAAACAATCTCTGGAAGGAATTAAAAGCAGAATGGATGAGATGCAAGAGGCCATTGGTGAAATAGAAACCATTGAACAGGAACGCATACAAGCTGACGCAGAGAGAGATCTCCAGGAATTAAACAATATTAAGAGAACTGTGTGACCAATCCGAAAGGAACACTATTTGCATTAAAGGGGTACCAGAAGAAGAAGAGAGAGAAAAAGGGATAGAAACTGTATTTGAAGAAATAATTGCTGAGAACCTCCCCAAACTGGGGGAGGAAATAGTTGCTCAGACCCCAGAAGTACACAGAACTCCCAACAGAAGAGACCCAAGGAGGACAACACCAAGACACATAATAATTAAAATGGCAAAGATCAAGGACAAGGACAGTTTTAAAGGCAACTATAGAGAGGAAAAAGGTGACCTACAAAGAAAAAACCCATCAGGCTATCATCAGACTTTTCAACAGAAACCTTACAGGCCAGAAGAGAATGGCATGATATATCTAATGCAATGAAACAGAAGGGCCTTGAACTATGAATACTATATCCAGCACGATTATCATTTAAATATGAAGGAGGGATTAATTCCCAGACAAGTAAAAGTTGAGGGAATTTGCCTCCCACAAACCACCTCTACAGGGTACTTTAGAGGGACTGCACTCTAAATGGGATCACTCCTAAGGTTAAATAGATGTCACCAGAGAAAATAAAATCACAGCAAAGAAAGCAGACAAACCAAATACTAACTAAAGGCAAAAAAAAAAACAAGTTCAACTACCCACAAAAGCAGTCAAAGGAAACACAAGAGCACAGAATAAAACACCTAACATATAAAGGATGGAGGAGGAGGAATAAGAAGGGAGAGAAATAAATAATCATCAGACAGTGTTTATAATAGCTCAATAAGTGAGTTAAGTTAGACAGTAAGATAGTAAAGAAGCTAACCTTGAACCTTTGGTAACCACAAATCTAAAGCCTGTAATGGCAATAAGTACATATCTTTCAATAATCACCCTAATGTAAATGGACTGAAAGCACCAATCAAAAGACACAGAGTAATAAAATGGATAAAAAAGTAAGACCCATCTATATGCTGCTTACAAGAGACTCACCTCAAACCCAAAGA